TTTTGTTTCGCAAGTATTGATATCTTGGAAGTATTGAATATTAGAAATGATCTTAAAAATAAATATTTTCGCTTGAATACTATGTATAATAAATGTCCGAAGTAACTGAAAATAATCTGTTGCTGGAATTTTTATAAGGATTACATATCAATCGTATTAAACGTATTGTAATTTACGTTTTTGCGCACGTGGCGATATTTATAAAATGATTGAAATTATCAATAAGTTAATCAATTTTCAACTAAAATTAGAGTTGTTGAAAAGGGAATTTAATAAAAACTCAGAGTGCAAAGAGTTAGATGGAAATCACTCGCAGGTTCACTTACTGAATGGAATAATTATACTTAACCCTGTGCACTTTAGAGTCGCCTCTCAGTCGCCACTTATAATAATTTGATAGGACAAGATTATGAATTAAATTAAATAAAATTATATTATAAAATTCAATATTTAATATTAATATTAAAAAAAGCTTAAGCACAATCTGTCAAAACGACGGGTTTTAGTTTTCTTATTCCGCAATTATTGATATTTTAGAATCAAACTTAAAATTATTTATATTTCAATATCCGAAACAATTTTTAATATAAGTAAATAGTTTCGCTTAAGTATTATAATGAATATCTGAAAAAATTGGAAAGAACTGTATTGTTACAATCCTTATAAATGTTACATATCAACTAGAATAAATAATCTGTAGTTCTAGCGTTAATGTATGTGCGATTTCTCGTTCAGTTATTTTCACAAAATATCGTCCACATCTCATCAGGAAACGTTGAGCATTTCTAGTGAGAAACTTCTGGAGTGCGAAAGGTTAACGTTGACACCTTTGCACCCGTGTTTTTCAGTCACGAACGACATGTCTGAAAAATAAAGCTCGGTTCCTTGGGGCCGAGTTCCAGCTCGGTGAAATTCGCCTTAAATCATCCAAGAACGTTTATGTTAAGTTTATCGTGTAAATTTCCGAGTTGTTTCATATTTACGACTGTCGGCGTGCTCGCAATAAGATGGCCTACATACAGCGGAATGTTCAACGGCGCGAGAACCTTATCGTCTTTGGAATGTCCTCGCCAACATTCACTGTCGCTGAAACGGGCGCTTAACTGGACTATAAGCGACTATTAAATTCTCAGCTGATTTTTAATTGATTCTCAGTTGCATTCAAATTACTTCTTATTACTTCTGTATATCGTTAACAAAAGACAAAAGAGTTTTAATGATAGTTACCTTGAAAAGCGGAGGAATCCCCTGAAAACAGTCCCACTTGAACCTACTTTCGGAAATTATTAAACATAAAAATATATGTACAGTTTTACAGAAATTAGTAAATAATGTGAATAATTTCGATGAAACTCACGTGAGACATAATTCTCAAGAAAATGTTTGACACATTTTTTTTTCTACACTCCCTGCTTTCAGAGATATTCTAAAGAAATATATATTTCCAACCCTCAAGTACAAGAGGTGTTCTCACTCCTTCAAAGTAGATGTTGGCCGATAGAAAAAGTACATGTCAAATATTTTCTTGAGAACTACGTCTCACGTAAGTTTCATGAAAATCGGCATGTGCTGGTTGAAAAGGTTCCCTTGTAAGATCCATGAATGGTGTTACCGAAAACAGGAAATATTCGCAAGACACGTTTTCCTTCCGAAATTCACTTAATACAGAATCATTGAATCTTTTGGCTAGGAATCGTTTGAATTCCTGTTCCAGGATCCCTCGAGGGGAACCGATCAATTCGGCCTGGCACTGGTTGGCCATTCCTTAGGAGCGGGCACAGCAGCTATCCTGGCGATATTGCTGAAACAGGACTACCCAGACCTAGTGTGCTTTTCGTTTGCTCCACCAGGCGGTCTGTTGAGCATGCCCGCACAGCAGTACACGCAAGAATTTATTACATCCGTAGTGGTTGGAAAAGACGTTGTGCCCAGGATAGGACTACGGCAAATGGAAAGCTTGAGGGCCGATCTTATCAACGCCATAAAAAGGAGCGTCGATCCCAAGGTTCGTATTTCCTGATGTGAAAAAGTAGAACGTCCTAGAAACACCGCCAATTTCTTATCCAGCAGAAATATACGACGTATTAGTTAAACAGTTCCATGTATTGCTGGTACTCGGCAACATTTTATGCCGCACGGAAACATGCGAGGTTTAGTTATTTTATGAAATTAAAGATCTTGAGATTATTTGACAATCTACTTTATACTGTTCCAAGTGATCGAAACTGAAACTTTTTATACAATTTTTCAAAGTATATAAAAGATATAATGGTAAATTAATAAGGATAATTTTAGATTAAACTTTGATCGATCAGTAAAAAATTAATTAATAAATATTGTATTTTTTATTCCTTAAAACTCATAGTGTTCAAGATCATCTGTTTCTATCTTTGGAAACACTTTGAAAAAACTCTAACTTCTAAAAACTGTCAAACCTAGACAATGTGAAATACTTTCCTAGCGTATTTCTGTTTACAATGTGTAAAATGTTTCGTTGACAGTATGTAAGTTCAAAATTGCCCTGGATGCATACAATAAGAAAAAACATAAAACATCTAAAGCGCTGTGTTGTTTATAGCATTTGTTAAGAACAACCATTTCCCAGAGTAATTCCATTTCTTTAATTACATTCTCAAAAATGTTAATTTACCATAAAAATTGGCGGTCTAATAATAAATATCGAATTATTGTCACTCTTCTATACCGTTAAATTATTAAGACAGTTTCAAAGAAGTGTAAAAAAAGAATGCCTCGCGTATAAGATAACTTCAGCATCTGCGTCATAAAAGAAAATTTAATATCCTACGAAACTTCCGTCATTTTAACATCGCCTTTCGACGGAACAATACACGCCATGGAACAGCGTGAGCCGCACGAATCCACACCGTGCCGGAACGCAAGAGTCGGTTTTAAGCCCGCGTATCAATCGCGACATTCGTTACAGTGGAAAACGATAGCGTGCTCGGTGATGTGTTGCGGTTGCGGTTCCACCCCCACCTCGGCCGCAAATTTAGAGGCCGGCGGATGCATCAGCGAGTATCAGAGGGACAAAGATTTAGCCCGTTCGCAGACCGTTGTGCCGAGCGACTCTAGTATCGCGTTGACGTTGCATAGACCCCTCTACCCGCCTGGTCGAATCATACACGTTGTACGACATCATCCAAACAAGGGAGAGTAAGTATAAACATTCGAACCAGCTTCCTGAAGCCCTGTTCACGTCTGTCGACTAGATCGCGATGTTTCGAACGCGTATAAACCGATAGCCGTGGCGTTCTTCAGTATACAATGAAGTTAACCCTCCGAACACGGGCCGCGGAGGCCGGTGGTCGGGTTACCGGTGACCCACATAAAAGTTCGCTTTTTTTATAGGTTGTACAGTTGACGAAACGTAATTCGATTGCATATGAACCTTTTGCGCTCGAGATTAATTCAGAGATTTGGCAGTCTTGCGCGAAAATCTTTGCTACCTATTTTACGCCGATGTGTAGACTAATGTTGTTTATTAATAATTTTGTATAGAGCTATACGTTTCGAAACTGTTTAGTATTTGTAATGCGACAAGACTATCGACATGTTTAAGAAGTCATTGGAGTTTTTGGAACAGACATACTACGGCGTGGTATGTCGTTTCAGTGCAAGAAGTTAACCCTTTGCGGGCGGAGATTTTTTAAAGCATTTGAAACCTTCGTGACAAAAACTGTGTTAGCTGTTATTAATAGTATTTAATAGTAATTGGTAATAATGTTAACTGTATTAGGTATTACTTAGGTATTCGTTAAACTTTTGAATGCTAGCAAGAATGAAACATGTGTATCAATCTGTTGTTGTTGAAAGAAGTAGATTATTTGTTTGCAACTTTCTATTCTAAATATCAGAACCAGATGTCGTCAATATGACGTTCGTTCCTAAAGGGTTGAAACTAATGAGTGAGGTGAAGACTTTGATTGCTAGTTAGTATATATTATTGTGTAGCTGGGAATAATGGTGGTTTAAATAGTATTTCTGAGTTCACGAGAAGAAGAAGTTTTTGTGAAATGTTCTTGGACTTATTAAATACTAATATTATTATTTTATTAATAACATCAAATATTAATATTATACAATTTTATTAATACTATTAATTAATATTAATGATTAATATTAACTATTGTAATATTAGTATTCAATTAATTCCAGAATATTTCACAAAAATTTTTTTCTCGAGAACTCAGAAGTACGACCTACACCACTATTGCTCTAAAAAATCAAATTATTAAATAAGTCCATTATATTTAGAAATATTCGATCGTAAGTTGCCACCTATAAGAAATTATATATTTCACTGAAATCACTTTAATTTAAATTATAAATTAACAATTGACGATGGTAAAAAATAATTTATAATTAAATGAGCTATTACATTTGAATACACAACGGTAATGTGTAATCAGATGTTAATTTTATTTAATTTGCCAAACTCTGTCAGGATGAATACGAAAAAAGGTTCACAGTTCCTAGAGTACGTAATACTTGCTAAGTGATGAAAAGAAATCTTCATAAATATCGATCAAAAAATTAATATTCTCAATATTATAACCAATTTTTTTTCAACTAATGCGATCATTTACTTACATCATGGGCATTATCGTTGTAAATCTGCGGGGTCTCAAGTGACACGGCCACCGGAACGCGAGGGTTAATGACAAAGTTTTTAATCAAACCAATCTTTTCCGTTTTTAGGCAGAAGTATGAGAGCCGCTGGAGGTACGTTTATCGGAAAGTTTTGCATTTTCAGGGCTGCACTGGGTAATTGCATCTTGAGGATCTGCCCGCATGCCTACCTCGGATCTGTACTTCTCTACACTTCTTTCTCCTTTCGTCACATCTGACACACTTGTCTCTCTCGTCCCAAGTGACATTACTCCCATGAACCAATTTCTTTCCTCGTTCAATTGATCACGAAAGTAACTCAATTTTCTTCCAGATTTCGAAATTTTCATCCAATTTTCATATTGCATTTGTAGAAATTAGATACGTAAATTTGTTGAGATTTTTTCAGTTTTAATCTGTTTTGATTAATTTTAACAGTTTGCATTCAAGAGATTATTCGCAGCCGTCGTTTTGTTTTACGTGGCAGAATTATAAAATTCAGTATTGGTATAATGTAATTAGTTATGAAACATTGAGGTAAAATAGTTTTGTCCATTGGTTCATGTATTATTTCTATTGAATGGGAACAATAATTTCATCAGTACTTTATTAGAAATTAATGAATATACGTGGAGAAAAAACTTTCGAGTACAAGGGTTAATCGTAGTATATGCATAAATGAAGAACTTTATTTATATTCAGTAATTTTTCACAGAAGCATGTTCTTACTTTTAATAACCTTTAAACGAGAAATTTAATATTATTTGAACTCATTTAATAATTCATAATTTATTATCGAATATTTTATTCATTAATTTATATTAATGATCTAAACTAAATAATTTTTTATTTAATCTCTTAACCAGAAAAGTCGAGTTACTCTCTTATTTATATTCTTACACTTTCTTTTATTTATATTATCTAAAAATTGTCTTGCTTTGATTATGTCAGATTATTTTTGTCAGTGATCAGGTTTAATAAGCCACATTTATTTTACTATTCCATTTACCTTATTGATTTTCCGATTGACTAGCTTCTATTTTTCATTTTTTTAATTTACTATTATTATACTTCGTAAATACTGCAATTGGTGTTTTTTGTAATTGTAGATAAAAAATGCCTTTAGTTAATAAAGAACTAAAACTTTATCGTTTAGAATAATCAGATACTTTCGTGGTCAGCTGAATATGCATGAAAAATCTATTCTATAGGATGCGATAGACGGAATTGAGTGTTTTGTGCACGGAGTAATTTTCGTAGAGTGAACGATTCAATTTTTAGAAAGTTGTTCTTAATTTACAGGAGATAACGTATAGTTTGCAGGATGTTAAAAGCATATCCGTTTACCCAATTGTTTACAGAGATGGGCAAATTCATTATGTAGAGAAAGTGTTTCGCGTAACGAATTGAAGGTCAGAAGTTAATTGAAATTAAATGTTCACTGAATACATTTAATAATCTCATTAACAGAGCAAACGAAATAATTATTTAACAAATAGTAGTTCATTCAGATCGATTGTTGAAAAGTTTGAACAGAATTTTCAGATGACATTTTTTTCTTGTTCTATCATTTAAATACAAACGCAAATACTCAAAGATATTTGATTATCGATAATGTTCACAATTTAAAATAGAGTCGACAACAAAAGATATCACAGTCCAATGTTCTATGATAATCAATCTTTAATTTCTATGATAATCATTTTAACTTCAAATGCATTAACCTTTTGCCTTATAGTATAGTCAAACTCGTCGATATTTCAATATTTTCAAGACCATTAATGATTAAATTAACAATTTGACAATTTTTCAATTGATTTAAAGTATATTCTCTCGCCTGAAAATTTTATTTCTTTTTCCAAAATTGAATTTTCTATAAACTGCAGGTGATGAAATGAGAAACGAAAGTCTACAAGGATCACTTATTGAAAAATCTTCGATTACAAAAACACAAAGATACATGAAATTTGTTAAACAATGCAATTTCTATGATTTATATGTAAATTATAACAAACTCATCAAACTTAGTTATACAATTCAGCACACAATCACCACAGAGAAACAATTGAAGCTCAATTGTCCATTCGCTCGTCTCTACATCGAGAACAGAGTCAATCGGATCCCACGGTCCATCGAACAAACGGTGTCAAATATATTTGAGAGGACGACTAGTTACGCCCATCTCCGGGTTGCATAGCCTAGAAAATCGAGTTTCCCAACTTCCGGTTCTGCGAATGCCTCCGATATGCATGCTCCCAGGGTAGCGAGTGTATGTACTATGTCTAAAGTTAGGGGATCGCTTGATGGCTAGACTGAAGAATGCGGGTCTGATTGGTCGATTTTCATCTGTCCTCATTTCGCTTTTGATACTAATTAGCTATTTATCAATACAGTTACACGTAACCAATCAAAACTATAAATAAAATACTCAACGAAAGACCCCGTTGTCTTTGTAACATGTCGCTGGACGTCAAGTCATCTCTGAAGGGTAGTTGATGGTACTGCCTGTCTAGCACTTGATAGCTAGGCTGAGGATAGCTGGTCTGATTGATCAGTTATCACCTTTTCTTATCTTGTTTCCGATAGTGACGTGTTATTTGTCGATACAGTTGTAGGGAACTAATCAAAACTACGGTACGCCTTGGATAATTTGCAACATCAGGAACCTCTTCATAATTGCTACTTCGTTATCCCTGCTAAATTCCTTTTAACACTCTATAGCACATAACATGATCCGAATATTGCCAAACTCTATGATTTCAACATCTTTTTCGTTTCTATTCGTAATCCTTTTCTATATTCGAAACTTAAATCGCTTATTGTACAACTAATTAGAGTCGTAATTTTATCGTGTTTAGTGTCATTTTACTCGGGAAAAACATGACCAATATAATGATGAAAATTTCACTCGTCAAAAATCAAATATAAGTTCTATTCTTAAGTTACAAGTCTCAAGCCCATCGCGAGCATGAACACATTGACTACCACGAAAATTTGGATCGTTTCCCATAATATTACTTATCCCTTCATAACAAGGGCACGTGGTATTACAATCAATTATTAATGATTCAATATCATAGTTCAGAAGTTACACTATTATTTAGTTACTTATATTATGAAATATTTTGATTCGACATCAGTTTCCTCGCAATCCTTTCAAACAACTTGAAAGTTCCGGTCATCAATGATCACCGAAGCACCAACACGCTTCGACTCTCAGTCCTTTTTCCGTCACTCGCGTTATCCTTTCCACGTCCTCCATGTTCATCTTAATTTCCTATACTCGTCTCCACTTTCCTAATTGCAGCATTCGTGTCCCAATTTGTATTGCAATTATCCAATGCTCACTGTACAAATACATCGAGAGTAACTCCTGTTGCACCTCTGATCTATTGGCAATCAAGTGGTAGGCAAACAACAGGCGACTTCTATCTCATCAAGCCCACACACAGGGTACGCAACATCCTCGAGCCGTGGCCGCAGCAACACTGGCCGGTTCTCTTCTTTGAATTTTCAGACAGGTGTTGAAGAAACGAGAACCAGTGTACCAGGCGCTGTGGGCGGGGCCGTGCGACTTCGACGAGGTGCTGATCAGCCCGGTGATGATACAGGACCACATGCCGGACAATATGCTGAAAGCGTTGAACAAGGTAAGCCAGGCCGAGCCGATAATCGGACAGATAAGAAGGTCGCAGACACCGGTTAGCCGGATGCCGTCGGTAAGGCCCGGTAATTACGAGCTGTTGGAGGAGGCGGCCGACGATCCGGACGTCCCGAGGGATGATCGCAAGCTACCCGGTAGCTACCGGGTAGACAGTAACGGACGCGCGAATGGTTGCGAGCGTGTTAGTACGCAAGTACAAATCGCTACGATCAATGTCACGGAAACGACCGGCGAGACCATTGTCGTCGATGTCGAGGTACACGAGCGAAAGGATACGCAATCTGGAGACCGTTCATGCGGCGCCCTGTAACCAGACGATCCCGGCTCATTGTCGCTCAAGAAACGACGACTGCTGGGTCTTCTTTACCTTTTTTTCCAACGATAGACTGCGGACGTACACGCGTTCACCTCGCGCCGTTGCATTCGTGAAGCCAATGAGCTGGAATTGAACTCTTTTGCTCGCGATACCTATTTTCTTCAAAAAATGGCAACTCGTTGCGAGATTGATGGAATGTTTGGAAGTGTTTTTGAAGATGTAAAGATTAGTCATACGTATCTTTGAGAAAAAGATAGTTTTATTTTAATGTTTCCTATGTTTTTATTTTGTTTTGTAGGTTTGCCTTTAAATTGTGTTTCCAGTTTTCTTTTATTCATATAAAAAACAGATGAAGTTTAAAGAAAATTGTTTTAGATAAAATGTTTTTTATGAGGACAGTTTTGTCCGTTTTTTGTTGCAATTCGAGTTGCTGCATTTATGTAATTAATGTAATTGATAGTCGGCTTTGGGGTAGGAGGGGTTGAATTTCGTGTTTCCTCTTTTTATGAGTCTTGGTACATTGGCGATTGTATCGTAAACCCATGGCATTTATTTTTGAAATGAAATTTTTTTACGTTACCATTGTGTTTATATGTCATTCGATAACTCATTCTTTTTTCTACAAGATCGTGTTATCAAGTTTTGAAATATAGGTGAAAATTTAGCGTTATTCGGATAGAAATGACCGTCTTTAAAACACGCACATCACATAGAATCTTTGAAAGCAACAAATATCAAAGGTGTTCGCTTTTTCTACTTTGAATTTTATCTTTCTACGAGAATATAATTTAAATTTTTACCCGAGATTAAAAATCTGTTAACACGATTTTGTAAAATCGCAAAACGATTATCGAATAATGTAAACAATGGTGAGAAATGTGACCTTTCACATGCGTGTCCGCAGTCTAACAAACGCTAACCCCTTCTCAGTAAATCTTTTGTAACTAAAATGACAACTGAAGCTAACGTTCTACGCTAGAAGGACTGAACAAAACTTTTATTTATTTATTTCGTCATGTTTTTTGTACATGGTTATTTATTGTAACGGTAATCATAGTCGAACTGGTTGTAGTCGTAGTTTACGTTGAATAGAGTAGCGTTTTATTCTTTAATAGACGTTTGTATCAATTTTTCTTTACCTGAGTACGAATTATTGATAATAGTGTGATTAATGTATCTTGCGTTTCCATTATTTAATTTCCCTTAGTATTATTATACATGGCACGTTATTAACGCAACAATACTTCTACGACGAACACGTCGAGGCTATTAGTACATACCGATTATCGTATCTGTTTCTGTTACGTGTAAATTGTTGCTCAGATTTAGGTCGAGCGATTGACACGCATGCTCCTCGACACTGCATGAATTTTACCGTAACGTTTGCAGACAATTAATTATGTAGTTCCTTCACGTAATCTGTATTGCGTTTTATTTTTCATTCAATTATTGTTCTTTTATCTTTTAGACGGTTTCTTTGTTTTATTCACCTTTTTTTTCCGTTTTCATTTTCAGTTAAAATGACTGCATCCAAAACGACTGAAATAATTTCTATAATAAGTATTCTTATTTCATTAATACACGGGAATTATTTTAGTATCGAACAAAAAACTGTAATCAAGCAATAAACAGATTTAGCTCTTCCTGTAACTGCAGTTTATGTAAAGTATTGTAATATATATATACATATGTTACATATGTTATATATTTATACATAAATCATACATTTCGAACCTGTAACTAACTAGTGGTCGTTTTGATTGCACAGTGTGACTACTCGATTCTGTATAATTTGCTATGTACGCTACTTCGATCAATATACTTTGTACCATAATAAATGTTGTTGTTTATTTCGTAGATTTCGCTTCCTAACTCTATGCTTGGAGCATTCGAAATGATGATTAGAAAAGGATTTATGGCGCGGATCACGTTTCATTTATCTTTGCTGTTATTCGTTCAATCATAACTCTTATTATCTGTCCTTTTCCATACAAGGTGTTTTAATGTTGACGAAACGTTGTCAATAAAATAAGATTCTATTAATAAATGTTAAAAATAGTATTAAATAAACAATGATTTGTAAATTATTATTAAAATGTTACGACAAAAACACGTACTAAGTATAGACGCAAAAATGGGATTATTATCGACATCTCGATTAAATCCAGATTATGCAATCCAGTAACCTGAGTTCCTTAATCGAAGATGAAAAATTCATTCGTCATTTCAAGCCAACCCTAATTTCATTCGCCTTCAATTTTCTTAAACGAACATTCTTGCCCTCAGTTTTATCACGATTAAACAGAAAACGTTGAACGTTTGTAAACCGAATTATCAGAAGACACGCTATGACAGTATAACCATTTAATAAGGTTTAACGAGGCTTTCATTCCACTTGGAACTCGCTGAAAGTCATAATAACAAAGTAATAAAATTTCTTTGTGTCCCCAGTGTCCGTAAATTTCCGGCTTCCATTTAATGCACCGGTATGCGCGAAAATGGCTGCACCAACGAAACGTGAAATAATGGGAATGAACCAACAGTCTGATTGGCCACTACGGGCAACGGTTCCGGGCTTAGGTTTATTTAGCATTTCCATAATATTTTTGCTCATTGGACGTGCTAGACAAATTTAATAATATTACTTTAAAACACCTTGTAGAAGATGTGCCTTCTCTATCTCCGTATTTCGTTATTTAATCGCCGTTTCCACCGGGTTATGAGACAAACTGTCAATCATTGCAAACAAAAGTGACAGAATATTAAATATTAACAAAATACGTTGAACGTGATTGGAAAGAGCCATCAATACTTTGTAAATTTTTATTTACTCACAGTAAATATTTATTGAAGTTCAATAATATATGACAACAATTTTTAAGAAAATTCTGTAATAATAAACCTTTATTTCATTTTTATTTCAAAAAGTAAATTTTGATCAATTAAACTTTAAATATTCATTGAGATAGCAACCTTCTATTTGATTCTTGCAATTAATATCGTAATTATTTATGATTAATTCGTAATCTAATCATCATCCAACGAATGCACAATCCTATTCGATACTCTTTATAGTTGCGACAGCGACTCCTAATAGTATGACTACATAAAGAAGGAATATTTTAGTGAATAAATACACAAAAAGTAGGATAAAATATTATTGCTTTCGTTTATATTATTTCCGTAATTTGTCGATTAATTTCAGCTTTGTATCAATTTTCATCTTTATTTCTTCAGTTCTTCCTAGATCACGCTAAGGTTTCAGCGACAAGCGCTACAAAAGGGAATGGCTGTCAGTTTGCTTCTGCTTTGCATGAAAGTGAAACATCGAATTTCTTGCACTCACAGGAGTAGTATTATATCCTGATAGAAAATTTGACTACAAAAATACCGCCGGCACATTCGAAACACGCGCGCCGATGTGCACGCGTAAATTAAGAGTGCTTCCTCGCCCAGGATATAACGTAGCGGAACGTAGAAAACTGTTCGAACAGCGTGTACAATGGCACCTCCTTAACGTCGCACTTTAACGAGTCACTCTCGTCTCTATTACATCCTACAGTGAACAAATTTAACCATTAACTGCATTCGACGAATATACACGTCGTCTTAAAATCAAAATGATACTAATTTTGTCAACGATAAATTATTTATTTTTTCAGGTAAACATGTCATTCTTCTTCGTTTTGCTTTAGGTTTTGGTTAGAATATTTTATAAGTGCATTAGGCTGACGTTTGACGAGTATACACATTATTATTTGATTTCATTGCCAGCATTATCAGAGACTTTTAAAATTAAATTCGACAGTTAACAGGTTAAAAAAAAAGAAATAATAACGAACAAGGAAACAAAACAAAAGCAAACGAACTCTTATGTCACTGACTAATCAACATACAGCACTGCTTCTTTCAGTCTATCGTTTTATAATTTTTTATCATTTTATCGTTCTGTTGTATCTTCTCCAGCTGTATCATTAGCTGGCATGGCACGTTTAACGTACAAAATCTTAATAAATGTAATAATACATTCAATGATACATTCAGTCAGTTAAGTACATTCGTTTTACATCTTACATAGTATAATGATTTTTTATGCAGAATTAGTTGCTTTATCAGAATTTAGAAAGAAAATATAGGCATTTCATTTTTAAAAAAATGAACGCAACCTGCATATCTCGATAAAATAGTAAAACAGCATAAAATCCATATTACTATTAAATGCCCCTTCGTAACCATGCAACTTTTGTCCGAAACATTTTTTCTTACAGTACATATTTTATGAGGTATTTAGAATCGTCACGTTGCGTGACTCATCCTATATATGATTCTGCACCATTCATTCCGGACACTGGATATCGCGAACTACATTTCTGTCCCATGGTTCCTTTCAGACCATTTCCTTCTAAAATGAGAACGCGATGCAACAATAAAACATTTTAACCCCTTTTTCTCAAGGTTAGGATGAATTTTACGAGCACTTTCTTATATCCTTTACCATTAAATGACAGATGTAGATTCACACTATAGTGGTCGTGATACATATTTTTGAAACAACCTTACATCAGGTCTATAGGGGTTAACCCTTTAGTTCTCGATGGCATCGACTTAAAATAATATTTCAATATTAATAAAATGCGAACCAGTGGGCTAATCGCGAAGCCAGTATAAAATCAATATAGTAATCGCTATTTTTCTGACATTTAGAAGCGTTTTTGATAAAAATGTCTGTTTTTGTTCCAAATGATAAAATAGTTGACGTATATTGCAAAAATAAATGTAGTTTGCCTAAAAGTTTTTATTCGGAACTTAACGGGTTAAGATGAAGGGGAAGTCGGTCAACTTTTGATGTTTTCGTGTCATTTTGTTGATTCCAAGTCGCGTGACGTTAAGGAGGTAACACACTGTACTGGAACTTTGAAGAGCTACTCGCGCAGCAGATTGCTGTGTTTTAATTGGTGACGTACTCCAGAAAAGAGAAACACGCGAAAGGTTTTTTACGGAGGCAATTAAATTCCGGTCATCTATCACCTTCCGTCAAACGGGAAGTATTGAAACTTTTACGACCGATTGGCTCACACGATTGCGACGAAGTCTGCACACCTTGCAAAAATTGTCTTTAATTACCATTCCGACGCTGCTGTTGATATTCGATCCTTCTGTTGCCTACCTTGTAGCTTAGATTATTATATCGGGTTGTAACTTATGAAATAACTAGCTTTTTTATAGTTGAAATATGCTTTACAAATTTAAAGTACAATTTTCTCGAGAGATACTGATGTTTCTTGTTGTAGAAGATTCGAAATAATTTCATTCGAAAGTAAGAGATTACATTGAGAATTATACACAATTATATGCATCTATAATATGATACTTTTCCAAGATGGCCGAAAGAAGAATGGTTAAAGTCATTCGTAAAAAAATACTGCAATTTAAACTAGAGATAAAAATGAAATGAAAGACATGAAGCTTCAATCGCCATTTTCCTGCCATTTTAAAAGTGAATAGAAACTGTTGCAACACTGTTTAATGATTATAAACAATGCGTCTTCTCGAAAATAAACTATTCTGAATAATTGGTGATAAAAATATCAGCTTCTTACGAAAAAATGTATTTTCAGTTCGAGGACTTTCTGTCTTAAGTCGAGCGTTCATTTATAAACATTGAAACTAATTTGCCCTTTATTTTCATTGAGCTAACTAGAAAATATTTTATGTAATATTCTGTTATCTTATATGTATTATATTTATTTCATACGTTACACTCCCATTGTTGTTAACAAGCTCTTTGTTAGACTAGGTATTAACCCACGGAAGGCGGACAGCGAGACAGCCGCAAGATGGACGCCGGGTCAATTTTAGCTGATAGTAATTCTTCGAGAACAAATTTTTGCACGAGAACGTTGCTTTTTCTGTTCGTTTTTTCGTTGCATCTTAACAGTAATAATAGTGACATTCAATTATTTCAATGAAAGAGAAACATGACTGTAAATTCTAAGAAAATAATGGTTTTTCGTAAGTACCGTGTGACCCGGTGTCTGACAGCGGAGGATTAATGGTATACAGAGTGGCACGATAACATTGATCACGTGGAATATATCCGTTATTTATAGAAATATAAAAAAAGCTATAACCTCAAATCGGTACAATGAAGTAAGTAAAATAGTATGTCAAATCTTTAGTTAGTTAAAAACTTTTCCCCATTGTTAACGAATGATTTCTTAGTACATCCAATGCAATGCAAACAAAACTTTGTAATACTAAATAAATTTAAACAGTAAATTCAAATCATCAAATAGATACAAAGCAGTCGATAAACTAAACATTTCAAGATTAAAATTTAAGCCTTAACCGACCGGAAACGCATTAATGTGTTATGTTTCGACTAGCAAGACAACATTCACGTTAATGTTTCTCGGCATGTTTATGTTTAAATTATATTATTTATGTGAAAAAATAACGCCACTTATTAAAGTTACACTAATTGTACCAAGAAAATAAAACTACTAAGTCCATAGGTTCCAAATATTATGTTACTACGCCTCTTTTACAAGAAATCTAACCTTGATCATTTGGCACACCTCCCCTTATTTCATAAAATAATACAAATGCTTATTTCAAAGAATGAGAAGAACGTAAATTACATTTCTGTTAAACTTTTCGTGCCTTCATTTGCATTAGACCGTGCCTTCCAGTTTGGGAATCGCTGTTCTAAGTACACGTCCCAAAATTATTAAAATAATTCTATTCTACGAAATGTTTCAATTTTTTCAGTAACTACAGATCCACATACAATTATTGATTTACACAAGTTAACAATTGTTCAATATACACTTAGCCCTTGATATACACGGTATTCGAATTGCACGATATCGGTTTAACACGGTTGAAGAAGTCAGTCAGGTCAGGCAAATGCAAGAATTACATTAATTTTTCGTTTGTTTTGTGAATTACATATACAATCTTGTTGAATTAATGAATTTTTATTTAAAAATATGTATATAATTTTTCATTTTACAAATAAATAAATAATATTGTTTCATATGAATTTGTTAAATTTATTACGTGTGTATTTCTTTTCAATGTGAATCGTGGACTCGAATTACATGATTTCAATTTACACGGTGTCTTCGGGGAACTAATTTACCGTGTAAACACTTAAAATTTACTCTGGAAGTCTTACTAGATGCTGTAAAACACTAGCAAACAGCCTCTAAAAATAACGGATACATTCGAAATAAGAAAATATTATCGGACCGCTTGGTATACGCGTGAAGTTTATATGCTCGAATGAAGTAACGAAGTATATGAGAGTTGACGGACGATGTCCCTTCGAATCGTGGCTAACCAACGACCCTTACGAGAGGATGTGTGGCTGAGGGTGTGTGGTGTGGATTAGGTGTCAGCGTGCAGAGATCGGGGCGCCGCGGAGGCCGGTGCAGCAACGCATGCAACGGCTGCGACGGACCCAGGGAGCCAACGTAGGCCCGATCAGCGACACGTCGTACACCACCATCAAAGTACACTGGCCACCTTGCAAAGCCGCGACGCCGACCTCAATGCCACCACACACTCTTCTCGCCACGACACAAGGTACATAAGACGTCTTTAGGCTTCGCTCGGTGTCTTTTCTACATGAGTTTACGTGTTCACCAGTGGTATCGTTCTTGACCTGTTAACCGGGCGATTATACGCTCGGACACATATGTCAGTTGCATTCGAAATGAATGATATTGGGTAGTAAATAAGTTCAGTTGCAAGTATTAAGAATGCTCTAATTTTGAGAATTAAATTGTAATAGGTTCAGTTGTAAGTGTGCAAAATGTTTTAATTCTGAGAATTAAATTGTAATAGGTTCAGCTGTAAGTGCGAAAAGTGTTCTAACTCGGAAAATTAAATTATGACGTACTGAAAAATTAATTTGAACTTATTCAAATAATAATTGTAATTATTTTAAAATCCAGCTTACTTATCTTACTGCTATATGAAATTCGGAGAAAATAAATGATGAATATATGTGAACGAATTTATGTTACGACCCAATAATTTATGATAAATGATGCTTTACGTTATCGTTAAATAAATATTTATATACTTAATTCTTTGCACTCTGTTGTCTCCACTACGGGGCACTAGCATACTCCATAAAATTGGCTTACAAATTTTATTTCTATAAAAACGAAACGAATTAACAGAAGAAGTTGAAATACGTGAATGTATAAATATTTATAGTGCTTTGTTTTTCAAAACAAGACTTTCGGTTTTTAAAAGTTTTGCTATGAAAATAGGCCGAAGTTGCTAAGAACATTTAAAAAATGTTCAGAAAGTAAAGGATTAATAATTAACTTACGATACGATATTGAATGATATTGCACTAAAGATAAATATGTGGTACTCTACAACAAAAAATTTTTTGAAGAGTAAATTACGATTCAAAATATGATTCAAGGATATAGATGAGAATTGATAATGAATAAACTCGTCTTTCCTGGTTAACAGGTGAATTCTTGAACTGTAATAGTAATTAAAACCGTTTGATGTTACTCAGGGATTGAAGCATTAATAAACATGAAAATAATGAAATAGAAGGAGAAAAATTAATGTATAAATGTAATAGAATATTTTTGTACAAAGTTTTCAAAATAATGAAATTTAAAAATTCGTTTGATAATTATTAATATTTATAGACAGTAGTACAGATAGTTGAACCATAGAAGAGTTATATAGATATCAATATTTAAAGGAATTACTATATTCCTACTTTATTTTAGAATTATTCATTGTTCAGGATTAATTATTTATTTTATAAATTATTATGTCTGACATTACGATAATAATTTTATTTGTAACCATATTTTCTATAAAATTATAAGAAAATATTCTTGAGCAGGACATCTAACTCTTTCGTATAAAGTAAAATTTAAAGAAGCTTGGAATAAAACACAGAACGAATGATATATCTTTGATCATTTATTTAACGTACTGTAAAATAAAGAACCTTTCAACGGCGAAATACTTCATAGGTATTAATGTAATAGGTCTCTGAGCAAAAAGAACGCTTGAATTAAACTTCAATCGAACGCTACAATGAAAAGAGCAGTTTCAGAAGAACAATATCACTGGTGCGAGGTCGCTGGAGATAAGTCTCTCTTCTGAAAATTATTTTTATTCTAATTCTAATTCTAAAGAATATTTCTATCAGTAATCATTTATATACAGAGTGTTTCATAATACCTGTACTGTTCAGAAAAACTTCAGAGACCAATTAACCACTAAGAAGTAGATATTTTAACAAAAAATTCTATTAACTAATGAATCTTAAATTTTAATGTAAATATAATGTTCTTCTAAAAATTCTAAAAATTGAAATTGAAACTCCTGTTTTCATACATTAGTTGTTGACGTAAATTTAGATACTGATGTACGGTGTACTTATTACAAACTGTATTCCTCTAATTAACTTTAATTATTTGATACTTGTATTATTATACTTATTGTTGCTTTTATTACTTTTCCATTTTGAATACTTCCTCCGTATCCATATTAAAAGATTAAAACACAAATTTTACAAGATTTTACTTGATGTTGACTGCAGAAAATAAGAAACACTCTGTACATTACTTAGATCCTTGAAACGATGTTGTAATCTCAAAAAAAAGATAATAATAGCTAAGGGGAGACATGAAACGACACTTTAATCACTCTTTAAGTTTGAGACGGGCAAGTCTGCAGCGACTAGGCAAACTCCAACGGACAATTCATCTCTGTCATCGCCACCATTGCAGCCCATTTTCATCACCTTCGTCTGCATTCGATCTAACGCACTCACGATCACGAATTCTGTATGGTCGTATCGCTCACGTGTCCATTCACCGACGTCTGTTCGAAAACGGAACTCGACCCGAAATTTCGGGGGAAGTATGCATTGCGAATGGTCAAGTAGAGATTAGAGTTGTGTGAGATCGTCCGAGAGGACATAACGACGATGTTGTAACCATGAGTCCGTAGATAAGCGTCTTACAATTAGACATAAACGATCGATCGTCGAATCGATTGGCTCAGCGATGAGCAACCGCTCCGACCGCATCCTTTTTATTTGCCAACCATGAAAAAAATATTAAAATACATTAAACGCTATCGAAAATATTAAAAACATTTCTAAAAATATATCTTCTAATAAGAAGATTATTAATTTTCTAAATAAATTCAATTTTCGTTGTTTCATTAAATCTCTTATTTTCAATATTTTTATTTGAAATATTAAATATTCAAAAAATATTTGAAACATGGAGTAATGTACGAAACAAGTTTTGCTCATCGTTGGATTAGAGAATGGTATTCGCCACAGTCGATCATGCATGTGCACCTGGCATCATTCTAGTTTTATTTGACGACAGCCCATTTTACATTTCGTTCTTTAGACACGCCATTCTGCGATGATTCTTGCCGAATGCGACTTAGGTTTCCGCCATTAACATGTTAACCGAGGAAGACGCCATTAACTTGTCGTTTGCTTTCCTTTATCTTCCCACACTTTGGTTTTTCGATTGATTTACATACATACAGATCTGTCCACTTATCGTAGCGTAATGTCTGTGTAGCAGTGTAGACTAGATCGTGGTTGAGTGTGTTACGAACGAGTCGCCGCCAGTGATTTTCATTCCTCTTCCATTCGTCGAGAAATCAGTTAACAGGTTAATATTCTGTGCACTCTTTCCTAAATGACTTTCAGCGAAGGCAAAAATTAGCTGTCGTTGCCCAGTACGTAATCCTTTCATCCCATCAAACTTTAGAAAAAGGATATTTCACAACGAAAATCCGCTCGAGCGCGTTTATTACGTGATCATTTCACTTTGTAACATGGCGGCTCTAGGAATTCCGCTCCGTGCGAATTCTGCAATCTATTTCAGAGACACAGTTGTACACACGAAGGAACGGTACGCTAATTTCGTACATTTCATCGAATTTTCCCAGATCCCATTAACCGCGTTAAATATTTGACAGATATTCGCTGCGAATTTCCGTGGTGCATAAAGAAGATAAAAAATTTATGTTTGCGGAATCGGTGAACGCGACACGGAACCGTTCTTATTATCAAAAACCCAGCGCCCGTGACTGTCGTGAAATTCTCATTTGGCTCTCAGCGAAATTGCTTCGCTAAAACGTAAAAGAATAATCACTGTACGCCTCATTACCAGAAACAGTGATCCTTAAAACCGTCCGTGATTATTCGATAAAATGATTTTACTTTACAAAGAATTCGAAATTGATACTCACAGTTTATTCTCCCCAATTACGCGAGTTTCAGAATTAAATTTTATTAACGAATAGAATTGATATCAAAATGAAGAACCATCAGCGTTTAATCAGTGTCTAAGAAGTGGCCTTGAAACGTGCGATATATTCAATCGATTCATAACCTTTGTTCAACTCATTAGTAATGAAGTTAGTGCCGTATGATTCGGAACAATTCTTTCCTCCCATTTATTCGATCGTTTTGATTCCTTAGTCGCACGCTAAAGTAAATATTACAAGCAATTACAATATTCTCGCGATTAGTATCCGGTCTGATCTGCAGGATTAGTGCCTGGTAGTCATCCTCATCTTCTAAGTCTCCTCAGCAAGCCGCGAAGCTTGACGGTCGAGCAGTTGTAATATGATACGTTGTTCAGTGGTGGTAAATATCGGTGAAATAATATTAATTCAATGATAAAATTTCTTCATAAGGGTTATTTTTTGTAAATGAAACTTGAAAGTGAAAAATTGTTAATGAAAGTGAAAAATAAAAAAAATTAACATTGCATTTATGTCCCCTCATTAGTCTGTTTGTTTCGATCTCTCAGAAGTTCGGAATTCTCGTTCTTTCATCCGCGCCATCCTTTTCTACAGAGAACAGAGGAGCTTAGCTCGGATCTCATCTTGGCTTGGAATCAATACCACTGCACGATTAGTGCCTGGTCGCAATTCCGATTTTCGGGTACTAATCACGAGAATACTGTACTAGAACGAACAGTTAGCTGTCACCTCACGCAAGAACGATCCCTTCAGAAGTCCGCCTAATAACCGAACCCATTTCAAAGCTACCACCAAAATCCAAATGACACGTTAACAAAGTAACATCATCGGACTCCCGCGGAATAATCCGATTCCCCCCGAATCGCCGCGTAATGCTCGGGCGCAAAGGATGCTAAAGGGAGTAAATCAATATTACCGAGACCGCAGGATCGGGTATCGAAGAGGCCCCGGTAAATCAGTTCCATCGCTGACGCCGCTACGCGTATCCCCAAACTATCAAGCATCACTCAATCATCCATTAACGCGGGCACCGCTACGGCGAGCTAACTACCTCGGGTACGTTTCAACACCCTCATTCTTAGTTTCCCTCGAGTGTCGAATACAAGTCGACCGGTCGCTATCGATGTCACGGGTCAACGGCGGAACTAAACGAGCACGGTTTACCGTGAAAACGATTATACATGGAAACACGCGTGTGGGTATATGCCAGGTTGTAACGACGCTGGGGCCAGCGAAGCCGCAGAGGCTGGCTTCCGGTCACGCATCGTCCACGGAGGCGTCGGAGGCACGCGAGGCCGTCGAGATCCAGGAGATGGAGATCGAACAGGAGATGAGAGCGTTGCTGCCCACCTCCAGCCCGGTGAAATCGCATCCCAGCAACCTGGCCGGCACACCACCGCACAGACTCTGCCTGGAGACTAGCTTCACGTCCCTGCAGAGCCCCTCGGAGTTCCCTCAGGCTGGCCGCGAGCTCAGCGTCGACTCCAGGGGGATTCCGTGGGAGTACGTGAGCCTGGCCAGCGAGTTACTCAACACGCCCAGGGCCGACGAATGCAAACTGTAAGAATAGCAATTTTCTCTACGGACAAGGGGAACGGTACCCTAACCGGAGGTCTGACCGTCGTGGCCATGTCTAGGATTAAACTTTAATCAGGAGAGTTTAGGGGACAGCAGTGCGCACGGTCAGTTTTGAGGCAATCTTTTGGGATTAATCAAGTAGTTAGGCTTGGCGAGATTCTTGACGATTTACTCCTGTCTACCGAGGGTTATTTCTGTTCGGTTTTCACGGAGAACGTTTTGGTTTTTGGCATTCTTCGGTCTTGTAACGAGACGTCCCGTTCATTCAGTGATCCTCATCGGAATTGTGTCACACTCTCGTTCACATTCGCTTGTTTCACTACTCGCAGTGTTCACCGCTTTTTGACAGACGCGCACATAGATGATCATTGCACTCTGCGAAACCGTCGGATTTGAGGTAACTTTTGAAGGATTGTGATGGAACTTGGAGGATGCACTGGTTTTAAATGAATGCGAGTGTTTTCAGGTATCCGTGGAGAATTCTAAGTTATGCTAAGTCGGATGGTTATGGTGAGTGACTGTATACAACCGTTTGAAGCTAGAGAACTTAAAAATCGATGCAAATTTAAGAAACTAAAACTCAAAAGCTAAACCTGAGAAGGTAATATCACATTCAAAACAAGAAACTTTAAAGTATTCTTAGACTAAATATTCTAAAGTAAAATATCTTTTTGCTGCTAACTATACTATTACCAGTTAACGACGTTTAACTAACATATTAAGAATAAAACCATTCGATTCATAGTAAAAAGAGCGCTCCACGTATATGCAAACACTGTACAGCTTTAAAATCGCCATATCGCCCGAGAGTCGACGCGATCCTTGCCACCCGGAAGGACTGAACTTTTACTATTCTTCGTCTGATCAAAAAATTCGAAAATGTCATATTCTTAGTGGAACAAATGTTCCCGTGAAACTGAGAAACCGTCTTAAACGTTGTTCTCGTGCGAATAGGACGACTCGGCGAGGCGACTGGGACGACGCATCTCGAACGGCGCCGCTCGCGACACCGGAAACTCTCTCGGAAGCGTCGAGCAATCCACCATCACCGGTACCACCACCGAGACCAATGAGACGCACCCCGAAGATATCGGGAAACTTGTCAACGGCGGCGGACGACCTGAAGAACAACCTTCACTTCGCTATGCTCTCGGCGAAGAATTACTTCCTGAGAGAGGGGAACAACGGCAGTAACACAAGCAGCGGAAATAGCGAGGCGAGCTACGAGAGCGCCAAAAGCTTAACCGCTGGTCTTCCGCCGCCGGTGCCGAGGAGACGGGACTCGGTCATCGTCAGAAGGTATTATAATACGATACTTAGACCCGATGTAGTTCTCAGTTTTTCTATATTTTCTTAACACTAAGTTTACCGACAGTTTTATGTACATATCGACACGAGTCAATTTGACCCATTAACAAAATCATACATTCTCTTTAAAAAACAACTTAAAAAGGACATAATTATACATAATGATCTTATAAATGAAACTATGGCATGTATAGATAACAGTCAGTGCAAGTGGTAGAAGAAAATGTAAACAGTTTCTGTAATTTCGAAAGTTCTAGGTAAAAACGAATTTCGAAATGGGTCAAAATAACCCGGCCGGTAAACCTAGTATAAATATTAAACGTACCGCGACCGATTAAATGACTAGTTTTTATATTTGATTGAAAATTCGGCGTTTTAGTTCATCCGTTTAACTTTATATCGAACTCTATATTGTCGAATTAATCAATTTTCCAATTTTTCCCTTTCTTTCTATTTCTATTTCCACTAAAAAGTATCAATCATCTAATTCGTTTACTTTTATTTTGTAATCAGTTATTCGGCAGGTTATTTTAGAAATCAGTATGTACAAAGTATCAGTACGTTTAGTGTCAATCCATTTGCATTATTAGCGTATAAGGTGAAAGCACCAATAGTTCAAAATTCAAACAGTTGACCAGTTAAGAAAAATGTTCTGTATGAATACATAGTATGAATAAATAGGAAAGCTTGTTCCATTATTAATACGTTGAACGCTGCATAATTTCATAGAGCAAAGTACACAAAATGGAAGAAATATAGTATTAAATGATTTAATTGAATTCCATTATTATTGCACGTTCATGTACCTAATGTCATTACATTAGATAGCATTATTTACAATATAGGTATATTTTCAAATAATTATCGTTTAATTGAGTAAACTACTGTAATTCCCTCAATTAAACGATGATTATTATTTGAAAACATCCCTTTATTGTAAATAACGTTACCAAATGCAGTGACATTCACGTAGAATTAACGTAATATTAACAACTGTGTTCATATTTCTTTAATAAGTTTTACTGAAACATTTAATACAAAAATACAGTCTTTATTTACAGGTGTTCTGAGCGGTTGCAACTTTTTTAGTCAAATTCATATTTTTTGTCTGAAAAGTTTATTTTACTAATAGTTAATCAAAGAACTTAATACTAAGAGGTCAAATAAATAAGTAAAGGATGAGTAGGTACCTACAAATTGTACGAAATTTTACAGAGAGCAAAGGGTATGCACAGCTGCATGCTGCAGAGACGATTTATCCGAAAATTCATCACCCCACACCTCTTCTCATTCCTCTGGAGCGTCTCACGCATCCAACCAAATACAGCAAGGCTACGCCGAAGAGGAGAACGACACGAACGGTTCCAGCTTAGACTTTTACGAAGCTAAGGTGCAATGCTTATCTTACGTAATGTATACCGCATATTTTATAAGATATATATTTATAAGATATAAAATATATATATAAAATTATAATAAAAAGGTGTAACAAACAAACACAGTAATAAATATTAGAAAAGGTAATAATAGATTACAATAATAATAATAAGCATTAATTGTATACAACAGATCTTCAGCAAAATCGATTACACTAGAGTTCGTCACAAGAGTCATCAAAATATAAATTGCGATAGTATTAAAGATATGAAATATACAGGGTGTCCCATGTAACAGTCGCTATGATTTTCAAGATAGTTCCGATAATGTGACGGAAAAATTTTCCGAATAAAAGTTAAGGAGCCTTAAGTAGTATTATGTTATTATGGTATTTACCTTATAAATTACAATACGAAAAATTTTCAAGAAATTTTTCTATCACAAAAAACTTGAACGTCATCTTCGTCTTTAAATTGCACTGTGTATTTTTGAGTGGATATTCCTATATCCGGTATCAAGACGAATTTAACAACCTGCAAAAATATGACATTGAACTTCGAAATTTGAACTCAATTAAGGGTACGCCGTCGCGAGAAATTATTTGATTAAAATCAATTTTTTGTATTAATTGAATTAAATTACATCACTTTTTATGATTCAGAATTTATTTTACAACAGAAAAACTTTTTGAAAATTTATTGTATTACAATTTATAGTTCATTCAAAGAACGAACTATAAATAGATTAACTTTAACTCGAAACATTTTTTCGTCAGATTACCGGAAGTGCCTAAAAAATCATGGCAGCAGTTACCTTGGACACCCTGTGTAGTTTTTATGATAATTTAAAAATACTGAATGCTAAATATTAGGTAGAAATCAAAACAACTTCCGATTACGTGAAAACCAATTTAATGTTTCAGGGTTCCTCTGGGCAACGCGACAGTAGCAACGATGTGTTTCTCAGCGTTAGAAGTTCTCCGGAGTGCAAAGGCCTTATGGCACCAGCGACAGATTTAGGAGCAGAATGGAAGAAGAAATTCGACGCGACAGGGTTGAGCGGAGACGCTTCGTTGCCGCTTCTACGTGGGCTTTCGCCGACACCCGCGCACGGACAACATAGTTCCCCATTTTTTAGCGCAAAACGGAAGAAGTACGTGTACCCGATCACGCTGGTTGGTCGAGGCGAAAGTAGCGTTTAATAGTCAAATTTTCGACCGACCGGGGACCATACACAAAGGGCCAGGATAGGTGTAAAATAATTGTTAGGTATCTGTGCCAACACCACAGTCTTGTGTGATTATCTGAAATTGTGTTTAACGAATCCTTGAATGGGGATGCGTTGTTAAAATATTCTAAAAATTAAGGGGCCACGTATCGCAGCCTCCTTTTATATGGACTTTCGCTGAAGTTTATGGCACACTCAATGAACTCGCAGTTCAATATTATGCTGTAAAATTTCCCACTGTAAGGGGTAGATAGTCAAATTTGAATGCTATTCGATTTTTATCGTAGGGCTCTTCTTTCTCTTTGTACAAACAGCAACTTCAACGACGAAGCAAAGTATTTTTTAAGTCGAAAACGTTTTCTGTCAAGTGAATGCAAACATAATATATATATGATGAGTCACCAAAAACAGAATATCTAAATGTCTCTGTTTTGAAATTGAGAATAGAAAAAATGACCAAGAGCCGTTGTTTATCTAAAATGAAAGAGACTAGAAAATCTAGAAAAATGAGGAGAATGTAATACATACAACATGAAAGAAATTTCTGAATACAAGGTCATTTCAAAATCATAGTAAATTAAGTCAAAGTTAAACCCGGGTTAATATCAGTTATAATACCATTAAATTAAAAGTGTATGGTATCACATAAAGAAATGTAGTTGAACCTTAAAATAACATCATTTTTATCTCGCACACTTTTTTTATTCTCAATTTTCATGCAGATACTTGAATGTGCTGTTTCTTGTGATTCACCCTGTATATATATACATATATATATATAGAGTTAATTATGTGTAAATAGTTGACATATGAAGCTCGTAGGAAGTTATTAAGAAGGCAATGTATTACATAAATAATAGTTTATATAAATTGAAATGCCTTGCTACTAAAAAATCATACAATTTTTTTTTTATGAAATTTCACTTATGTAATCACTAAATATTATAGTGCCACCAAACTATGTGGACATTACATGACAACTGCACTGGCCTATTCTATACTGATATTGTTTAATACGAGAACTGGAACAGATGATACATTTTGTACAGTTTTTTAATAGTACCACGAAATATACAGAATAAATGGTTTGTTAAATGTATCATTTATAATAAACTATATATAATTTGACCATATTATTTAATATGAGCATTCTATTTGAAAGTAACAAATTATTTTATTCATATTTTTGAATAATTATGATTATTTTTTTCTCGTTTTTTTTAAATGTAGAAATGGGACTGAATACACGTATGTATAAAGTATATATGGAATGTAAGATATGCAACTACTGAAATAAGCTGATTGTATAATGATGATTGAATGGAGAGGCATGATTTTTACTAGTAATATCTTGATAACTGAAATTCCAAAGTCACTGTATTTATGTAAAAAGTAGATAATATATTTAACTCTATTCAATATTTATTGAACTTATTGTAAGTGATACTTGTAGTATACTTAGGAACAAATGAAATATAGAAGAAAAATTCATTTAATGTAATAAAGTACAATACTTTTTAAGAAATAAAAAAATGAAATCAACTGTGCTTTTAATTAATTCATTACATCTTTTCTTCCTTATTTTCCTATTTTTCCTGTTATTAAACTATTTTAAATTAAACACTTATAAACTAGAAAAGAAAATATTAAACCATCAATAATCAGTGAACACCACAGAAATTTTAAATATTTTTATTGAATTGCTGATGCCCATGGTGGAGTCATTGGTTGTGGATTTTGTAAGTATGACATAACAACTGCTGATATGGAGAGCATAAAACTACTAAGGATTTGCTTTGTATCATCGCTCACTTTCGAATTTGCAAAACTAATACAAGAACAATATAATGCGACCCATGCGCACCATTTTAATCTCATCATTAAACCACACATACTAAAAATCATTCCTAATATGTTCATGTAGTCTAGTGTTGAATTATCACCTGGCTGAGCTTGGCTGCTTGCTGCAGCTGGCTTATATCTAACTTCTCGTTCAGGACGTCTTGGATCAGCTGAACTATTCATTTTGCACCTAAAACTATTAATACATTTTATACCGAACAACAGAAGCTTTTACAGTACTAAAAAATAAACTAGCTACAATATTATGGTGCAATTTTATTGTAACAAAAATTATTAGGTTATTAAACTGTATACTGCAAAAAAGTACCACTAATAATAATCAATACCAATTTATAATAGTACAGATATACTTAACAGTACTTACCAATGTTACATAAAATGTAAAAATTAGTATAATCAAAATTTCTATTTAATACAGGTTAAATAGTTGATTGAATACTTTGTACACGTCAGTTCCAATACTTTAAATAGAATTTGAACAGCGCCATCAATTTCAGAATATACACATACCTAGAAATTTCATTGAAATGTATAATAAAATTATAGAAAATACATATTTTATTATACTTACTTTTTAAACTACTTAACGCAAGTAACGCCTACATACCCTTCTATACAAGAAACTTTAGACACTAACTAATCAAATTTTGATAAGTCATACAAACACCTGTACGGTTTTACCATTGACGTTGAACCGATAGATTGACCACGTAAAAATTATTGTGTCGACAAAATCACCAAGCGTTCCGGTTTATTGTTCTGTAATACCAACAGTACTAAAAATTACTTAGTACACTAGCGAACTCTGGTTGATTAAAGCTTTCAGCTTTTAAATTACAGCAGCATAGATTTAAGATTGTATCTTGAATTTGTATCTACGGTATCTTGTTTCTCGTTGGTGATTCGGTTCTCCTTGTTATCAATAATTATGGAGTAATCTACATTATCTACATTGCATACAATGTTCGCCTATAAATTATATGCCAAAATTGTATTTTGTTTTCTTTTTATTTTTTGATGGTGTTACGTATGTAATACTAAAAACTGTGTGTTATCTTCTGCAATATACTCATTAATAGAATTTTCAAAGTAAAATTTTTTTACAGTTCACATCGACAAATGTTACCATTGCATAATAAGTAAACTGTATAACTTCAATGATACGTTTACAGATGGCGCTAAAAACGAATATGCATTCCAGGAGACCATTTTCCGAGAATTTCCCGGGAGACCTGTTTGGTCACCCTCCCTCCATTTACCCCCACCTCAACCATTCTTTCGAATTCAACGCGCGAGGTATCGGGAGTTCACCCCACATGAAGGGCAGCTTTGTGGAACGAAGCTCCATCCTATAGGATGGGGAAAACCACAATGCCGTCCAGACCAAGTCCCGCCATTTTGTAAACCAAGGGTCGAAAGGGACGTGATGAAAATTCTCGATATTTCATGCTGATTAATACCACATTAATTGTGCTGTTTTACACATAATTACTAGAAAATTTTCATTAAAAAAGACTTGCCTCCTGCTATTGCTAATAGTATATATTTATTCATTTCCTAAACAGAACTAAACGATTTTCTTATAACCTTTATCACCTTACAGCAAATCATTTATTTGTGGCATAAAATCATGATATTTCGTATGAATTGCTTTAGTATTTTAATAGAAGATGCAGCGAATAAAGTACAATCAGGAAATAGTGTACCGACAATGGAATTAATATTATCGTCTTAATCTCTTTTAATCATTCTCCGACTGACAATGTTATCATAAACATTCTACAAAAACATGTTTTAAAGTCTCAGAAATATCAGAAATTTAGAAATATTAATGCACATGCATTTAAGTTTCAATATTTATATTTAAAAAATGAAAATACAATGATCAAATATGAAATCTTGTGATATTTCTGTAAATTTCATTGAGTGTAACGTAAACGATGATTATATTCTTTTCAGAAGTGAAAACAAATTTAAACTTAATTGGTAACTAAATTGAATGAAATCTTCTTCAACATCAAATATCGCAATAAACAGCTAAAATGTAGTATATTTAAACGCATTAGTTAATGTCAGATAAACTGAAAATGATTTTTTTCTTCGTAAGAATATTATTCACACAATCGCTTATGTAACACGGCGCCTCGAGGTACACTATTATCGGCGACTATTTATACTATTTTCGTATCGTGACCATTGTCACCTAATCTTACTTTACTTAGAATAAGATTGTATCTATATAAACCAATCAAATAGATTTTTCGGAAATTTTTTTATTTTATTTATAGATGTCATTTAGTAAACAAGTTTTCAATAAAACAGGTATAATAATTACTCAAATTCATGCTATTAAAGAGTAAAAAGTTAGATTAAAGAAACAAGACGAGAAAATCGCATGTTCTTATGCCGACTTTTGTTTATCGTGAGATATTCAAAGATGTTATCCAAATATTTTTCAATATTGTCACTGTTCATTTAACATAGCATTCATTTAAAACCTGTAGATAACGTACATTTATATTTTGGTTGTTCATTAATAGAAAATACATAATTGTAAATTTTATTCGCACATTTCATCGTCCCATCTAGTGGCGCCGTCTACAGTTCACCACTTTGCAAATGCGGTTTCGATACCGCCATTTTATTTCATAACGCGAATTATTTCCTTCAAATATTACTGTAAACAGTATACATTTGGCTATATCATCATTTTTATTTCGTTTAAAAGCCTAAGTGCCACTTAAAAATATTTCTAAATTAATAAATTATTCAACCAAAACGCATGTTTTTGCAATACATAATGCCGTACGCTAATTTTTACAAATATCATTAATATTAATAAATTTTACTACTTTAATCCACGTAATAATTAAACGTATATATTTCTAATTCAGAGTTAACTATTAAAAGATAAAAAACTTGTAAGTAAAGGTACTTTTCTAGGCATTTAAGAATCAAATAATTTCAGAGGTAATGTAAACAATTTCGTCAAAACGAACAAGTTTTTGGAATATAATTTAATTATATAATTAATCAATCAGCTCCTATGAATCAAACTTTTGTTTTATTATAAAATATAATGATAAGGTTTAATGTTTAAAATATAATAATATTATTATAAAGAACTATCATATGTCATTGATGTATCAAGTAAATAAGTATCATCAAAAATTTATAAATTTGATACTTGCCATGTTTTATGATAATATCATTTCAAATCTGTCTCACCTTAAATAACAAGAACCAAGGAATATAGATATTTTCTCCGGAAAATACGTACAATTCAAAGCAATAACTTGCCAATAAAATTTACTTGAATTTATGTTCATGAATAATACGTATCGTTATTATTCAAATAACTTTGTGCAAAATTTCACTGCTTTTTACGACATTAATTTTCCATGAATACCACTTAAATATATTAAAGATAATCCGCAAAGTGTTTCAATCATCGATTCGAAGAAATAATAGAGTTTTACTGATAATGAAGGTTAACTAAGGGCTCGTAACGTTCAATTATTAAGCCGGCTTAAGCAACATGTTGAAATTCCTCTACCAAAACTTTTTTGTTTCGTATAGATACTCGTTACATTCGATACTTGCATGAAACGTTAAATATTCGATATTTAAATTGCATTGTTCAATGCAACAGTCACATAAATATTTTCACATCATTTCAAAGTAATAACTAATTTTTAAGATGAATACATTGCTCGTGTTCTGTATTTTTTTTAGAATATTTCCTTCTTTCTAGCTTTGTGTCATCTGAAACATAAAAATGTTATTGTTATTACTCGTTTATGGTAATAAATTAAATAGATAATAAATTAATATTAAAGACTCATTTATTTCTTAAACATTTACACATAACGTTTCTATTAAGTTAAATCAGATAACTTAACGAATGAGCATAAGTAAGTGTAATATACAAAATGTATTAGAAATACGTTTATTATTAAAATATATAAATATTTTATACTAATCGTAATTATGTAGATAACGTTAATGATATAGGAAAAGCATGATTAAACAAATAGTCCACAAGATGTTAATGTGAAATGTTTACATAAGTTGTTTTTGATGCAACAGTCTACAATATTTAAAGATCCTTTTTGTGTTATTTCCAGTAATTTCTGTTTTATATCTTATATGTAAAGTCAAACAAATTACGCACCTGTATATAGTAAAAAAAAATACTCATTTATTTATGACGCTCAATATTTTACATCTTGCATTGTGTAATGTGAGGAAACTTGAGGATATTCTTTTCTTGAATTTTCTTTATATTTTCTAAAAACAATTTGCTGCATTTAATAAAATATTGTAACTATGAAAATTGCTACTAAAACAAATGCTGTTCGCGAACGGGTTAATGGGTGTGTATTTAAATACTTACTTTTATATGCATCATGTTTATTCGTTTCCTATTATTCGAGAAAAATGGTGATTTGTCCGTTCAAGGCAACATAATATTAAATTAGCGTACATGAAATGTTCTTTTTTTTCAAATTAAGTACACAAATTGTAACTTTTAGAGACATCTTATTTTTACAAATTCAAATTGAATCATAAAATTGAATCATAAAGTTGCGCAATGAAGGAAACTAAATAATGAAGTAGTCATTAAAAATCTCCGATTGATTCTTATGTTTGATAAAGCATTATACCGGTGTATATGGCTAATAAAAGTGTCAAACGTAGTAATGGAAATAATACGACTTTTAAGAATTTTACAATTCTATGAATACGAATACTAACACTTGAATCTAACATATATAGAATCTATTTAAAATAAAGATTAGGCTAAATAATATTACAATAATCATGGATTAATATATATATTATGAACAAAATACAATGATATATCTCAAGAACTCTGTCAAAATTTTATAAAATCAGCCTCACGTTGTCTATAAACTGTTGAAAACAATCCCAGTTATCTTATAAAATTATAAATTATATTTCTTCCTGCTATTTACAAATTTTCTATGATTATGTAGATATCTACGATTTTAGTAACTGACAGCTTAAAAGCATTATTTTCAAATATGTTTAATTTACATTTTATAAATCGCACCTTTACTTTGCAATTATTATATATCACATATAAATATGTAACATTATATAGTAGGAAATATATACTACACTTTATATAAGAACATCGTAACTTTGAAATAATAAAATATACTTCACATATACTTTCCCATAAAGGTATCTCTATTTGGTAAATATTTTATCTTATTTTGTTTATTTCGATTTGAAAGAACAAAAACCACTTATTTATTTGCAAGATCTAAAATTTCTTTCCTGAAATGATGAATTTACCATCCAACAGAATATATATGAATACTTCGGCTCTTACGTCATCCAAATTCGAGTGATACAATTTTACATATACCTAATTTTGTTAAATTATGAGATATAAGAATGACAATAAAGCAATTGCAATGTAAATGTTCACTTCTCAGTTTCTGCTTCATTGAAAAAAACCATTTCCATTGCCCAATTCTATTTTTACATGATAGATACGTTCCGCTTACAAAATTCGTATAAAAAAAGTATATTATACCTATAGAAAAGTAAGGATTGGCTCCAAATCTAAGAAATAAGTAAAATAATACAATAAATGATAGGAAAGTTCAAATTAGAATTTGGGTGATAGTGTTATATCAAACCAAATTGTATAAAAAGAAAATTAATTGTTTTCTAATTTGTATTACATCAAAGAAATAATCTAAAAACAGTAAAATAATTCATG